CTTCTTCTTCTTCTTCTTCTTCTTCTTCTTCTTCTTCTTCTTCTTCTTCTTCTTCCTCTTCCTCTTCCTCTTCCTCTTCCTCTTCCTCTTCCTCTCCCTCTTCTTCCTCTCCCTCTTCCCTTTCCCCTTCTTCCTCTTCCTCTTCTCCTTCCTCTTCCTCTCTTCTTCCCATTCCTTCTTCTTACTCCTCCTCCTCCTCCTCCTCCTATTGTTATTGTTATTATTATTGTTATTATTATTATTATTATTTTAATAATCATCCTCTTTGCTTTGAGAACTGATTTGACATCCATCTATGTTGTGGGTAATGTTCTGACCCAGGCTTCCTAAACATAATCATGCACAAACTTGTTTTTAAAAACAAGACTTATTTTATTGCAACTCTGGGAATTGTTTTCATGCCCAGGTGGAATTAACCTCCAACAGTCCCCTGAGATAAGCACCCACCTTTCAGTTCTGTGAAGTGCTGCCAGAAACAGAAGTGTCAAATGTACTATAAAAGAAACCAACCAAAGTGCAAAAAATACCCCAACCGAAGTACAAAGATCTTCAAGGATGACTCTGAACCGAACGAACTACTTTGCTTCCTGCAAAGATTTCTTCATCTTGGCCTGACTTTTACCCCTTATGGGAGGGGCAATCACCTCCCAGCCTTACTCCCAAGTCGCTCCTTTTGTCTTAACTGCTCTTGCCTTCTAGCAGCTCTGTGCAAACATACACTGGGAACAGGTTCCCCTGGTTCCTCTGCCTTGCTGCTGTCAGACTCCGGAGGCTCTGGAGGCAGCACCCCACTCCCAGAAGGCCCTGGCCCCATCTCTGCATCAGACGCAGGACCCTCGTCCAAGTCCTCTCCAGATTCCCAGATTGATCCCCGTTCTTCCCCACTGTCCAATTCGGCTGCCATCTGCACCGACTGCCGGTGAACCACAACAGGTAAAACTTGTAACCTTTAAAACCAATTATTTATTTTGTCTGGATAACACTTTTATAATTGTTTCCATTGATACACACAATATAGTCAGATACAACAAGGGGAGCTTTTGTTCCCTTACCAAAAATTTCATTCTGCTGAGCAAACAGGGAGCAAGACCAGATGGCAACAGCCGTAGCCACTCACTGATACAAGGATTGTCAGTTGTGGTTTGGCGTGTGGTACAAGGAGAGGAACCACTTTTGAAAGTGGACAGATAGGACATTTCCACAGTAGTGATTGATGGCGCGTCATGAATGGCTCTGGCCACCTGCCTTCATTAGTGACATGTCACCAGAGTAATGACAGGGTGATGCAGCCATATTCTTCAGCACTTCTGTGAAAATGATTGTAGGCTGGTATGCTGTGTAATTGCCACTTGACAGTCTAGGTGTCCATCCGTCCATCATATCATAGCATTTCCCTTTACCTCTAACATCAATGTATCATCTGTTTAACTATTTATATCTACCTACTGGTCTCTCTCTCTCTCTCTATCTCTCTCTCTCTATCTCTCTCTCTCTCTCTATCTATCTATCTGTCTGTCTGTCTGTCTGTCTGTCTGTCTGTCTGTCTCTATATCTATCCATCTCTATCAGATAGATAGAGATGGATACATATAGAGACAGATAGAAATAGATAGAAATCTACCTACCTACCTACCTACCTGTATCTATCTACCTACCAGTATCTATCTATCTATC